AGATTCTTGGGATGCCTGGGTGGCTCAGCGGTTGAGCATCTGCCTTCAGCCCAGGGCATGATCCTGGAGTCTTGGGATCAAGTCCCATATCGGGGTCCCTGCATGGAGCCTGCTTCTCCCTCTGCCTGTGTCTCTGTTTCTCCCTGTGTCTCTCATGAGTAAATAAATAAAATCTTTAACAAAAAAACAAAAAAACACCAGATTCTTATGTTGGAATAATGATACTTTTAAATTCTCCTGCAATGCCTTCATCCAACTATAACTCATCCATTAAGACAGCATCTTTATGTTAGACTGTTAAGGATACTCTACAATAGTAATTATAATAATTTAAGTCATAGACTACTTTGAGAAGCTAATCAAAACTATAAGCCTTCTCTACAAAAAAGTACAAAGAGTTATGAACACAATTTTAGGAGATTCTTGGACTTCCTGACACATGTTCATGAGTCTCAGATTAAGGATCTTGGCTGTCGGGCAGCCCCGGAGGTGCAGCGGTTTAGCGCCGCCTGCAACCTGGGGTGTGATCCTGAAGACCCGGGATGGAGTCCCACGTCAGGTTCCTGTGGGGGGCCTGCTTCTCACTCTGCCTGTGTCTCTGCCTCTCTCTCTCTCTGTGTCTCTATGAATAAATAAAGTCTTAAAAAAAAAGAATCTTGGCTGTCTTTATGGACTAGACAATTTGGCAAACAACATTCTGAATGTCTTCAGTTCACTAAATTCATGAAATACCAGAGAGCTCAAAAGTCACTGTTTAATTGCAAGAGTTAAATTACCAATATGTTATTAATCATGTTTACTGGCCTCTTCTGTCATTATTCCAAAATGCAGAGATCACAAGGAATTCACAAGGAGATGATGAAGTCAACTATTGAGTAGCATTGAGCAATTTAGTTTTTATTTTTCTCTTTGTTCTACTAATTGTATGTGAACCATTACATCAGCTAAGTCTTAGACTTGTGACATTTCAATTTTCATTTTGAAATATGTTTCCTATATGTATATATATATGCATGTGTGTATGAATATGTATATAGACAAAATATCAACACTTAACTCCTTTTCCCCTTCTTAAATGCTAGGGTTAATGAAATCTATTGCCCTTGACTTGAACAACACCTTTTTTTATATAGTAATATAGCACTTGTATTTGTATTTTGTAGCATACTTCACACACATACACACACACATACACACACAAATAATTTCTTCTACAAAATGTAAACTCTCAAGGCCAGAAAATTCATAACCTGGCATAATGCACATAACCTATGGGTACTAAGTGATTTATCAAAGAAATAATTAATGAGCAAATAATTCTTATATAAATTTTTGAGAGAAAAAAGGTAAATAAAGAGAAAACAGATCAAAATTATAATCAAACAGCAAAATTACTAGCTTCAATTTTATTTTATTTTTATTTTTTTAATAAATTAATTTTTATTGGTATTCAATTTACCATCATACAGAATAACACCCAGTGCTCATCCCGTCAAGTGTCCCCCTCAGTGCCCGTCACCCATTCACCCCCACCCCCCAGCCTCCTCCCCCTCCACCACCCCTAGTTCGTTTCCCAGAGTTAGGAGTCTTTATGTTCTGTCTCCCTTTCTGATATTTCCCACACATTTCTTCTCCCTTCCCTTATATTCCCTTTCACTATTATTCATATTCCCCAAATGAATGAGAACATACACTGTTTGTCCTTCTCCGATTGACTTACTTCACTCAGCATAATACCCTCCAGTTCCATCCATGTTGAAGCAAATGGTGGGTATTTGTCGTTTCTAATGGCTGAGGAATATTCCATTGTATACATAAACCACATCTTCTTTATCCATTCATCTTTCGATGGACACCGAGGCTCTTTCCACAGTTTGGCTATTGTGGACATGGCTGCTAGAAACATCGGGGTGCAGGTGTCCCGGCGTTTCATTGCATCTGAATCTTTGGGGTAAATCCCCGGCAGTGCAATTGCTGGGTGGTAGGGCAGGTCTATTTTTAACTCTTTGAGGAACCTCCACACAGTTTTCCAGAGTGGCTGCACCAGTTCACATTCCCACCAACAGTGTAAGAGGGTTCCCTTTTCTCCACATCCTCTCCAACATTTGTTGTTTCCTGCCTTGTTAATTTTCCCCATTCTCACTGGGGTGAGGTCGTATCTCATTGTGGTTTTGATTTGTATTTCCCTGATGGCAAGTGATGCAGAGCATTTTCTCATGTGCATGTTGGCCATGTCTATGTCTTCCTCTGTGAGATTTCTCTTCATGTCCTTTGCCCATTTCATGATTGGATTGTTTGTTTCTTTGGTGTTGAGTTTAATAAGTTCTTTATAGATTTTGGAAACTAGCCCTTTATCTGATACATCATTTGCAAATATCTTCTCCCATTCTGTAGGTTGTCTTTTAGTTCTGTTGACTGTATCCTTTGCTGTGCAAAAGCTTCTTATCTTGATGAAGTCCCAATAGTTCATTTTTGCTTTTGATTCTTTTGCTTTCGTGGATGTATCTTGCAAGAAGTTACTGTGGCCAAATTCAAAAAGGGTGTTGCCTGAGTTCTTCTCTGGGATTTTGATGGAATCTTGTCTCACATTTAGATCTTTCATCCATTTTGAGTTTATCTTTGTGTATGGTGCAAGAGAGTGGTCTAGTTTCATTCTTCTGCATGTGGATGTCCAATTTTCCCAGCACCATATATTGAAGAGACTGTCTTTCTTCTAGTGGATAGTCTTTCCTCCTTTATCGAATATTAGTTGACCATAAAGTTCAGGGTCCACTTCTGGGTTCTCTATTCTGTTCCATTGATCTATGTGTCTGTTTTTGTGCCAGTACCACACTGTCTTGATGACCACAGCTTTGTAGTACAACCTGAAATCTGGCATTGTGATGCCCCCAGCTATGGTTTTCTTTTTTAAAATTCCCCTGGCTATTCGGGGTCACTAGCTTCAATTTTAGTGTTCTTTTTCTATGCATTCACCTACAATAGCAACATATTTAGTTGTGGTCACTGGGAGTTGATGTTAAGGCTGGTGACCTTATTAGATCTTAATTTGAGCATGCTTCTAAAAGGTGAGAAGGAAATTAATTTCTCCTCCATTTCTGAGGTTTTATTTTGTTGAGTCCTTTCAACAATCTTCAAATGACTCAAGGATTCTGCTCACCAACATAAACCATCACTGGAGGACTCTAATTCATTCAAGTTGGCTTATAATTAGCAAAGAGATTTAAAAATACATACATTGAATCACCTTGAATATGATTGTTCAGTTAGGAAATAATGATGTCAGGGACCGATATCCCCATTTATCAATAGGATGGCTCATTCAATTTAGGGAAAATTCAGAGACTAAAAACTGGAACTTGTAGTTTTAGCATCAGTAAGTATCTGGGATTGGGAAGAGCCTTCTTGTACCACAGGCACTGCAGACTTGCTATTATAATCACAACTGGCTAAACAGCCAACTGAAAGTCAAATATCCCTATCAGAAACACAACCTTAGTCTTTTGGCTCTTACTGCAGTTCCATTTGGAGCTGTTCTTTGGCTCAGCACATTGGAATGTGAAGTCAACTCACTTACCACATATTTATTGAACATCTACCATTGTGACAGATATATTGCCAGGATTCCAGCAACAGGAAAAATGAATACAAGATACTTCATGCCTTTGACAAATTTACATTCTGACAAAACAAGTATATAAATCTCTGAAATACAAAGCGGAGTGAGAAAAAGCTTAAGAGAGAGACTGACAGGTCAGATACCACATCTATTTGAATAAGTCAAGCAGGGTTTTATGGAGGTACCACACTGAGATCGATTGAAGCATGGGTAGGAGAGCAACAGATGGGGCCTGGAGATGAAGAGGGCATTTTCTAATCAAATATGTACAGCTGGGATAACTGGGGCACATTTTCATTAGAAGAGCAAGTAACCCATTTTGAATAGAATATATATTCCATGTGATGCTGTAGTAGAAGATGAGTCTGGAAAGTTGATTTTACTTGTATGTGTGAAGACTGGTATATAGATAATGAAGGATTAAGTAAGTGAAAGTCATGGGTTTGAGGCCAGTAGTTGCTATTTAGCTTAGGTTTTTTCCCAAATTAGTTTTTTTCCCCAGATACCTCTGTTTATTAAGACTTTAGGAATGCATGTCTAGACCAAACTGTGAGAGCAATTAAGTTCACATGCTTGGAATAGTTTGTCTCTATTGACCTTCCACCCATAACCTTCTCCCTCTTCCCATTCTTGTCTAAGTAGAACTTGTATCTGATCCCATTTTTGGTGAGGGATGACTGAGAATGACTTGGGGATCAGAAAGGTGGGAATAATAGTTCTATAAAGCATTCCCATATTATCAGGAGGACTCTTCAAGTAAGGCTTCAAAACTTTAATGAATCACATTATAATGACAAAATATGAGGCAATAGGGTAAATAGTTTTCTGTGGAAGAACATTGACATGGATACCTCAAATTATGTAAAGTAGTATAAGCATCTACATGTCTCCCTTTTATGTCATACAGGGGCCACTGGTTGTGAGAGTTACAGCCTAACTCAGAGTGTGAATGACTCAGGATAAATGATTTCCAAAAGTGAAAATTACTCAAAGTATAGGTGTCATATTTTATAGGTCATGATTATTTTTTTCTTTCTATGAACAAGTAAAGGGGCATGAGGCAGTTAAGATAATGGAAAGGTAGCTAAAAATCAGAAGGTTCTGGGTTTCAGATCCAGATTTAGTAGCGATTTGTTAAAAAAAAAAAAAAACCACGGGATCCCTGGGTGGCGCAGCGGTTTGGCACCTGCCTTTGGCCCAAGGTGCGATCCTGGAGACCCGGGATCGAATCCCACATCGGGCTCCCGGTGCATGGAGCCTGCTTCTCCCTCTGCCTGTGTCTCTGCCTCTCTCTCTCTCTATCTCTCTGTGACTATCATAAAAAAAAAACCCCACACAAAATAGAAATGGGTATATAAATTCTAAGACTCATTTCACCTCCCTTCTATCATATAAGGAGGCATAAATTAAGGGTGTCCCTCCCTATGGGATGGTGGCATTAGAGGAATGTCAACTCTTTGAGCATTCCTTTTATGGTGCCTCTCCACTACAGAGGGTTGTGGGGAGGGGAGAGCTGCTGATGGACAACTGACAAGGGAACTGGGGACCTGCATCTTCAGTCAGCTCCACAAGGTGACATTCTGTGAGGAAGATGTTCCGCTGGGCAGGTGGCCCCTGTGGGTGGTGCTGGGAGTGCCCCTGTTTGCAAGAAGGAGAGATCACATTCCAGAATGCTGCCCGGAAGCGGCGAGATAGTAGGTTATAGATAATGGGGTTGACAGCTGAGCTCAGGTAGAAGAAGACACCTGGAACACAGGAGATTAAAAAAAGAGACACACTGAGGAGAAACTGAGTGAGAGGTATGATAGAGAGAAGTATAAATATTTAACAAGGGCCTCGAATTCCTGAGACTGCCTCTTTTGAACATAATAATATATACAAGACTCTAATTGAGAATACAAAATGCTCTGAACAGATCTACCACCTGCGTATTTAGGAATCAAACACAGAAAGATTAAAGAGTCTCAGAAAAATTTAGGCTGGCATGGGATCTCTCTGAGATGCTTGGCAATTTCCTTTGATCCCCACTTGTTTAATTAAAGAACATGCTCTCATAGCATTAACGAGAGATGCTTAAGTATCAGAGGAAAGAGAGATTGTTTTTATCTCATTGGAGCTTTGCTTAAATCTATAATTTGAAACTGCAAGTGATGGAGGAATAGCAAATCAGTTAAGGCATAGTCTCTGGTGAGATTTCTTATAATGCTATCTCTTCAATAAAATATTCCCCAGGGCCCTTTTCCTACCTGGCCTTTCCCCTTGATGGCTCTTCCCCCCTTCCAACTTCATTAAATAATTGTATTTTGCCATTCGTTTTCTCCACCAAATGCCTTGCACACTGCCATTTCCTTGTTTGGTATACACACTTCTTTTATTACTATATCCTGTTTTATTTCCCCAAGGCCCAAGATGGGCCTAAGGTTGAGAATCAGAAGACTTAGTTTCTGATCTTGTCCCTTGCTTGTTCTGTGACCTTAGAGGGAACTGGCACTTCAATTCTTTTCTCTGCAACATACCATCCCAACCTACCTCTCTGAATTACTGTGAGGATAAAGTTGAGATGCTATCACAGAGGGACTGAGAATGGCTAAGAATATAAAACAAGTGATAGGTACTGTTAACAACATTCATTGTTGTCCTCATTTACATAGTTCAGGACATACAGAGTGCCATATGCCCTATGCACAGAATTGGGCAGGGAGGAATACAAGAGAAGAATATTGCTGTAGACTGTTAATTCATTCAATAAATTCTTATTTTGTGCCAGAAGCTTTGAGGCACATTGGTAGATAGTAGATTTAGACTTCGTTCTCAAGAACATGGAATAGTATTATAGAGAAAAAATCTATGCCTAAATTTAGCAGTTAACAAAAGAACAATACCAAACTGTATCTATTAAGAGTGAAACATATGATACTAACTGTCACCCTATGGAAATTCACATAATAGCATAAACACAAGGACTATAATAATCATGAAGGATTTAATTAGGTGATTGAACACTAGCCAGACTCTGAAGCAGGCAGGAGATAGTTGGGGAGGAAAGGAGAGAATACTACAGGTAGAAGGTATAGCTTGAGCAAATGCGCAAAAGTAGGAATGGTTATTATCATGCAGGATTAATGCAAAATGTGCAGAACTCTAATTAACCCATTTGACAAGTGTATGGTTTATGAATGGAAAAATATAACTTGAGGATGAAAAGGCAATTTGGGGGCTTTTAAAACATTTTGTAGCATTTAAGATGTTTAGACTTCATCTGGTTGGCAATGTGGGGAAGAGAGAGAAATTTTAACAGGAAAATGTTAATATGAATGCTGTAGTTTAAAAATCTTAAAATGGTTGTCTTGATACATCTCAAGATGTAGGGTCAACTGGTCAAGTCTCATGTGATCTTTTGATATTTTACAATTTGTTTTATCACTTCCACTTTTCTCAGCTTAATCACAAAGTTAAGCTAACAGCTGTAAATATTTTTGAGGTTAATAATTAATTAATAATTAATTTTACAGGGAAGAAAATACTAATGTCCGGGTGTAAACTGTTTACATGGCCTGCTGAGTACAAAAGAGAGGGTGATTGGAAACAGATAATATACATGGCATTCAATATGCCTATGAACAGTAGTTTTTGCTTTATGCACTCCTGAAGCCTAACACATGCAGGTCGTCCTTCTCTCTCTTCTCTGGTGATGTCTTTGATAATCTCAAGAGCCCAGAGAACCAGCGAGTGACTCACCAAGGTAGCTGGACAAGGTGGTCTGCATCAAAGTCTAACAGTCACACCAGCTGAGAAAGAGGGATGTGGGCAACCATTCTCTGTTCCATTTCAGAGTAAAGAACCCTCAACTTGAAGTTGGGTGACTTGGGTTGGAATGCTGTTTTTTACCATTTGCCAGCCAAGTGACTTTGGGCAATTGAGTTCTTTTTTGTGGAACTGTTCTTTCAGCTGTAAAATGGTGATGGCAATATCCTTGTGACAATTACAGAAAGATATGTAGCATTGTGTAGCTTAAAAAGCTATTATTTTATTTACTTCTTACCTTAGCCAATGGTTAGTAAAGAAAAGGCATTATTGCCATTTTACAATTGGGAAAACTTGACATGAAGAAAGCCACATTCTTCAGATCACTCAGAATAGTAATGATATGAGGGAGATGCAAATCCAGGTCCTCTGACTTAATGACCTTTCCACCAAATTTCATGGTATCCTTCACAAGCATCATTAAAGTAGCCTAAAAGCAGATCTTGAAGCCTTATGAATAACTTTTAGTTGGCTTTCATGAGGATCTAATGCTTGCTGGAGATAATATGAGATTTCAGGGATTAAGCCCGGATGTTTAATTAATAAGAACCAATTCAATCATGTGATCATTGGAAGTAAAACAAAGGAATCGCCTCTTAGACCATTTTCCTGCTGTAATCATCATGCTTAGAGTTGAGGTCTTCAGAAAAACATCCACCTAGAATAGTGATCTGGTATATTTCTTTTGGACGCATAACATACCTAATCAATATGTGAATAAAGTAACAATCAAATGTGTTCTTCATTGTATGGTGGGTCCCCATAATCATCAGTATATCCAACAGAACCTACTACTCTAAGCAAGATGAAGCAGCTGCAATTACCTGAACATTTGTGATGCAACCAAACCAGCCAAGATTTTACCTGATACCACATGGATGAGATTGAATGCAGCAGCCAGGGATTCAGTCCACTCCTCCACAAAGCTAAAGAAGAGCCGATCAATGTGGAATGGGGCCCAACAGAGAGCAAACACTAAGACCAAGACAACTGGAAAACGATGATGAATGAGAGAGCAAAAGACAATCAAAGTAAGGATAGGTACACAATGTCCACTCTAAGTCCATACATTCCTTCTGGCATTCCCCACCCCCACCCCCGCCATCTTTCTTAAGCTATCATTATAATGGACCATATATGTCTTAAGGAGCCTCTACATAGAGTATTTACATGTGAGAATGAATTGTATAGGATTTAGGATCAGTTTTCCCTATGATTATTCATGATTTCTTGTATAAATTTACTTTGGAACACTTAAAACAGTATTGACTATTCAAAGTTCTGAAAACATTCTGTCATGGAAAATATATCACAAGAAGGTTGTTGGAACCATATAAACTGGTTATAGAAATAAAGTGAGTTCAAGCAATTGGTGTTCTTTAAAGTCATAGACTGATAATAAACTATTTATGTAGTATATAGTATAAATGTATTAATTTATCTTATTACTCTAGAAATGATTAAAAACTTCTGTGCATTCAATCATTCTGTAAGGGGTGGGAGAGACAGAAAGAGAAGAATCATGAGCATAATATTGCTTTATAAGCATCTTTTGATTGGGAAGGCAATGTGTTTGTTATAACTTTCTAGAGTACAGACTTCCTTCCAATTTCTTTTTCTTTTTTATTTTGAAATAATTATAGATTCATAGAAACATACTATTGCCCAGTTTTGTTTTGTTTTTTTGTTTTGTTTTTTTTGTTTTTTTAGCTCCCAAGATAGAGATTAGTGCTACCATAGTTTTTCTTTGGGGCATTTAATCTTCACCAATATAAATATGTATGTTTTTCTTTCTCTTCTGAAGTTGTAAAGCACTTTTATTTCCCAAGACATGATGCTTGAGATTTGCCTCAGAACAATCTTGTAGGGGCTGGGGGACAGATAGGAATATAGATGAAAGAAGATTAGCTATGAGTTCATAATGTTTGAAGCTGAGTGATGGGTACATGGGTTTTTATTTTACAATTCTCTGAACTTGTGAGCACATTTGAAGTTTCCATAGTAAATGGTACATATATTTCCTGTTGGCTGTAAACATATTCAGAGTAGGTGGTCTGCCTGTGTAGTGTAAGTTTCAAGAATATCTGAAAGCTTCTTCTGAGTTTACTCCTCAAAGGAAAAGTTCCTAGTCTGCTCACTACTGCCTACAGTTCACTTTAGCTAAAAATTTAATTACTGTTGGGGAACCTGGGTGGCTCAGTAGGTTGTGTCCAACTCTTGGTGTCAGCTCAGGTCATGATCTCGGGGTTGTGAGGTTGAGGCCCTCATCCCTCAGCAGGGAGTCTGCTCTGAATTCTCTCTCTCCCTCTGCCCCACTCATAAATAAACATTTTTAAAATGTAGTTAGCATTAAAATTGAACACTCTACGCCCAAAGGCAAATACTTTACTATGTATTCTATCAGTCTGGCTTTAATGTGAGTGCAGAGTCTTTTTGTGAGAGCAGATTATGATCTAGGAGAAAGGGGAGAGAGACAGAATGAAGATATGAGACTTCTTAATAGAGAAAGTCAGATACCAACAATCTGGGGCCAAATTGGGGCCAAAAAATTTCCAAGAAGATGGCTATCAGACAAACTTTAGTGACTTCAAAAATTTTTTGTTCATAAAACATCACATAGTTATGTGAATGATTTATATGCATATTAGTCTGAAGGATTTATTTTTTTCCAAACCCTAGGTTTTTACTTGGGAAGCTTATTATAAATCTCCTTTCTCATCAATATCTCTCATACCCTAGTGCAGGATCATACATTTTTATAACGTTCTTTTGGGAGAGTGTAGAACAGTGCCTGGATTTTTAAAAACAACTTATCTATGCTAAAAGTATACTGTTTTATATAAAATGAAATAGGCAGGATGACTGTTTAGAGTTATTCGAGGCCAGATATTCTTAATCTAGAATTAAAAGATCCCAGGAAAGTCCAAGGATGGGTGTTAGGAGGTATATGATCCCCTAAAATGGATTATAAAATGTTTTGTATAAGTGTATTTGTATGTATTCTGAGTGGAGAGTTCACAGCTTTCATATTTAAAAAAATCATAACACAAAATAGGTAAAAATCACCTGCTTATTTTATATTTTATTTTTTAAGATTTGCTTATTTACTTTAAAGAGAGGCAGGAGAGGGATACAGGGAGAGGTAGAGATGGAATCTTAAGCAGATTCCAAGCGGAGCATGGAGCCTGACTTGGGGCTCATGACCTGAGCAGAGACCAAGAGTCAGATGCTAAACGGGCTGAGCTACCCAAGTGCCCCTCACCTGCTTATTTTAGATAAGAAAAGCAATGCTCAAAATCTCAGGGTGAGGTTTACAGAGTATATTACAATGATGCAATTTAGGGTATTGTTTGAGGGTTAAAAACTAAAATAAAAAAAAAAACTAAAATAGAAACCAAACAGAGAAGTCCCAGGAGATTGAGAAAACCAAGGTTTCAATGTTATGTTTCAGGAGAATTTTGATTCTGATCCCAGCAGCACTTTCTCAGTACTAAATGCAACTCTTTTGCTTTCACAAACAAAGAAACCCCAAACAAAGTGGAAGACTTACACAGCATTTTGGTGATTGATTTTCTGGCAGGTCTTTGAATATTTGCAGTCAATTCATCTGCCCCAAGGAGCTGATCTTTCTTCAGCTACAAGAGAAGTGGAAAAAGATGCTAAGGGAGGGAAACATTGTTTCCTTCTGTCAAGATCCAAGAACTGTAACTCTAACATTGATTTTGCAGTCAAAAATCTGAGATTTAAAGATATGTAAGAATCCATTAAATATTTAACAATAAGTTGGAGGTGGAGTTGGATCCAAGTCGTCTAACTCAACTGGATTACGGTTATGGCTACGTTGCAGTGCTACCATGTATCATATGCTATTCTGTAGAATGCTAGTTATGTAGTATATTAATAGATGTTCCATGAAAAGTGTGAAATCTAAAGTAAAAAAAAATGTTAGGCTTTTTCATCCATCCATTAATTTAATAATTATTAGATGTGTATTAGAATGAAATCCCTCTTCTGTAGGGTGAGTAGGCAGTAGAAAACAAGAACAGATATTGTTTCTTGCTTCATAAAGCTTATAGTCTTTATTGTGGGTCTTCTCAGAGCCTTTAATGTGCTTTGTAGACATTATGAACATCTTCATGGGGGTTTGTATATCACCCTAACCCCCATCCCCACCTTCCATACCCCACATCTCCCACCTCAGCCTCAAGGGAGATAGTGCTGCTTTGACTGAACAATATCCCTCCTGACCCAACCCCTTTCAGTGGAATACCTAGTATATCTTGAGAAGCATAATTTAGGGAAATCTGTGTTACTAATATTACTGAGAAGAGTACATATGTTTTTGAGTTTTTTTTTTAAATTTTTATTTATTTATGATAGAGAGAGAGAGAGAGAGAGAGAGAGAGAGGGAGAAGCAGGCTCCATGCACCGGGAGCCCGATGTGGGATTTGATCCTGGGTCTCCAGGATCGCGCCCTGGGCCAAAGGCAGGCGCCAAACCACTGCGCCACCCAGGGATCCCTGTTTTTGAGTTTATATGTTAAAATACACTCATTCTGTTGTAAGATGTGGTTATCCTTGAAGAGGTATATAAAAATTAAAAAAATTAATACCTGTACATGCATTTTTTCCTACCTATATACTCTAGAGGACTCTGGTAGTTATTGTAGCTCATTGTCCTCTCCTTCCTCTGAACTCGCATAGCACTGAAGATCTGCATCATTCTCCTAGTCGTAGAATTTTCTTCTCTTTAATTCACATATTTTTATTTGTGAGGATACACAACCAGATAAAGAAAGCTTCAAGGACTCATGATAAACTACCATCAAATATCTAGAAGATAGTACAGTATATATTTGTAGTTGATTATCTAGCATTTATTCTTTTCTCCTACCAATGGTATCCTGATTTTCCTTTAGGGATTTTAGTCCTTCTCCATTCTTAATCATTAATTTGGATGGGAATGATCCCAACTCCAACTCCAGCTCCAGGTTCAGCCTTTGAATAATGTAGCTACTATCCATCAGTTACAGTAACTGGATAATTAGATCCAACACAATTTCTGATACTTGCTTGTACTTCTAGAAATGGAAGTTTTATTTCTCTTTCATTAGGAGCCCTTCTTGTTTTCTGCATGTGAACTCTGGAATACAACAGCTATTTTTTCTTCCCACCATGAAAAAAGTGCGTGGAGCCACCAATGGCCTGCAGTGTGGATCTTGAAGTCAAAATCAACAGTACAGACAGAAAAACAAAGAAACAGAAATAACGCTAGGTCTTTGAGAACATTGTGTGTTTCATGAGATTAATCTTCATCAAAAGCCAGCTCTAACTCTTGACTTTTCAGTTCTATACTTCCCTTCACATTTTGTCAGATTGACTTGAGGTTCCTTCATTAACAATGTAAAAAGTTCTGACACTACTGATCAAGGCCATCAGGTGGAAGGAAAATTCAATGTACTCTATGTACTCTTGGGTAGATTAGGATCAATTTATTGAACTATAAGGAGATATATTCTAATTCAAGATGAAAAAGGGATTGGTGTGATTATGTGAAACAGTGCAGCAAACTACTCTAAGAATTAGTGAGCTTCCTCGGCTGGATGGCATTTTTATGAAATACTGTAGAGAAGGTATTTAAAATTAAATAAGACTTGGAAGGGGACTCATTGGAAGTTGCCTCCAAAGTTTAACAAAAGATGATCTTGTCTCTCTAACATGTAAGCTCTTGGAAGTCAGGTAGTTCTCAGGACCACACCAGTCCTGAAGCTTCCACTTGGATGGTTAACAAACCTGACCATCTTTCTCTGAATATAGTGGTGCTCTCTACATATACCTGTGTCTTCACAAAGTGGGGGGTTAAAGTACCTGTGAGATTTGACCCTTCAGAGATGATCTAGAACTTGGAAAGAAGGAAGAAAAAATACTGTGCAGTTATTAAGAATAGATGGGAGAAAACTGAAGATTAAGAAGTTATAAACATAATAGTAAAACAAAATAATGCAGGTAGAGCATTCATCTCAGTGCCTGGCATATGATACTCAAGTTATATATTACTACTGTCATTCTGATTATTATCCTTTTACTCAAAAGACATAATAAAAACTGAATTTTGATTAAACAGGGTTATTTATTTATATCTGTGGGCCCACTCATGTGGATTATTGAGTCCCTTCCAGAAAAATTCTCCTTCTCATGGTACTGCTCATACATAAGCAATACTTGATTAAAGCAAAGAAGCAGGCAGATGCACTGACAAAAAACCTTGATATTTAAGATAAGAGTAATAAACTGCCAATCTTACTAACTCATGATCAGTTAAATCTACTAAAGATTCTAATTATTTCATATCCTTAAAAAATGTCTCATTATTACAAGATAGTTATTGCAATATTTGATTTAAATCCATAATTAAGAATAATAAAGAACTATTGAGATCTCTTAGTCCGTTCTGTGGGTGGGTTTAACAATTTTCATTGGTAATTTCTCTACTTCAAGGAACAATTTTCTTAAATCAAACATAAAGCAAACAGTCCATATAATTCTTTTATAAATAGGCTTCCTGTACAGTGTAGTTTGCAATGAAAAGAAAATTATAAGGGTATTGGTTAATTTTTAGCTTCTGTAGGTTTTAGTGATACAACTAGACAACTAGGAGAAGAGTGAAAAATTGAATATTTATGTATCATATACATTGTTTCAACCTAAGTTGAAGGAAGTAATATAGTAGAGTAAAATCCAAACAATTTGTCCAAATACTGCTTTATGTTTCCCTTCAGATGTTTAGCAAAGTAGATACTCAACCATTAAGTATTCTATCCACCTCTGAACTTTTATTTTAAAGGTCAAGATAGAAAAAGAGGAGTGAAAAATTGTGATTACTGCATAGGAAGCTCAGGGCTTTCCTACCCTGCTCTCATTAACTGTATAAGATAAGAGGTAAGGGGGAGGTCAATGGAGGTCACTCAAGTTGATTTATTATGCTGATCAGTTGTTTATATGATTACAATCATTCCAGCAGATGTTCATTTATATGGTTTGTGGAGACTAAGCTTCAGAATACCAAAATATAATCCTAGCTTTTGTGTAAATATTTCTACAATCTGAACAAAATCTGTTTAATTATAAAAAAAAATTAGTGCAACTCTGGCACGGCTGGATTCTGCTACAATTCATAATCCATCTGCTTCAATTCAAGTGTTAATGCTGCATGCAATCTCAACAAGTACTAGTTGAGAGCTCCAAAAGAACTTCCTCTCAGAGAGAAAGAAACTTGCCCTGGTGTTGTCCGTTTTCCATCTCTAACATTTTCTAACCTTGAAGAGCAGCTCAGTGGATACTTATGTCCTGGAATGATGAAGCAGCCCTGAATGCTCAGCTTTAAGCATGCATATGGGCTCCCTTCTTCCTTAGTCCTGGGATTTCATCAGTCTTAGGTTTTTTGCCTTCTGAAGGCAGTGAGTACCAAAGGCAATCATAACTTTAGATTTGCCAGGGGAGTCAATAACTTAATAGTCATCAGAGTTGCTTAATCTCTTTTCAGTCTCTTAGATCAAAAAGCTCTTTGAAATAATGTTTCCAATTCTCTTGCTTTCTAAGGTAGGAAAGCTGAAGTCCAGCAATGAATAAAATAATTTAACTTCATTCATTCATTCAGCTTACAGTCTAGTTGGAAATAAATTGAGGAACCCACAAATATAGAATTGTAAATTGTCATAAATGCAATGAATGAGAATCACCAGGAATCATAACCAGATACACAAGTACCAGGTGCGACTAGAGAGTCAGGGAGAGCTTCCCTGAGAAAGTGTGGGTGAAGTAGGATTTAAAGGATAAGTTAGAGTTAGAAAAGCAAAAGGGAATGTGATGGTCAACAGTAGCAACATTTCAGGCAGTGATATAGCAAAAGGTATAATAGCATGTGCAAAGGCCCTGAGGCCAATCTCATAGACTGGGGCCTATTTCTCCTGACTCTTAGTCTACAGATCTTTAAACTCCTCTAGCAATGATTTACTAAGCAGATAGTTCCTTCCCTGGTGTCCTCTGGGTAACAGTTCATCCTTCCTGAGAATAGGAATAAGTTGCACTATACACAGAGCAAATTAGGTAGTTTCTAAACCATTGTCTGAGCTGTCACTTAGCTCCTGATACAAGGTAGCTATAGGTTCATGACAATGAAACAAAGTCATTGGTTGGGGATAGAGGATGTGTGTTTCCTATTCAAAGTTAAATACTTCTTTCAAATTAATCCAAGATGAAAGATTGTTTGGTGTTGGACAAAAAGTATTAGTCAGTTTGGGGAGATTTCTCATAGCCCTCATAATATTTGAAATTATGTAGAAGTCCTTTCCCTCCAGTGATATACACAGGACATCCTAGACATTGCAAGCTAATCTGGGGTGACCTGTGTCTCTGGATGTAGAAGGGGATCCCTCTAAGAGGAGACTGGCAATCCTCTCTGTCTGATTAAATTTACTCCTATGTCTAGATATCTGTGGTTTTTGGAATTTGTTCTTACTACTTGGACTGTGCCACTTACCTTAGGCAAAGCAGATATGGAAAAGGACCATTGTGGGACACTCATTTCTGACACTCACCTTTCTCAGAGATGTCCTGAGATGGGAGTACGTTAATTGTCACAGAATATCTGGTGGCAGAGCCATCTTGAAGTATATGATGTGAATGTCATGTTTGCTTTGTTTTCTTTTAATTTATAATTCACTTTGCTCCTGCTCACAGATTTTTTTCTCCTTTAAGTTATCACAGACTGTTAGAGCTATTAGGAGCCCTAGATATGATCTAAATGTGACCTTTTCATTTTATAAATGTGAAAACTAACTCCAGGAGAGAATTATGTGGCTTGCTTAAAAGTGTATTTTATGTGAGCTTCAGACCTGGGAGTCTAAATGGTCCCAAGACTGTTTCTTACACAAGCTGCCTCCTTAAATGGGCATAAAGCTGTCACAGTTAGATTTCATCCCTATGACTTGGGATGTAGAATATACCAGGAGAGGAATTATATAGACTCACTACTACCCTCACCAAAAGTAGTTTCTCTCAGCTAATTTAGATCTTAAAAAAAGAAAAAAAAATCCATTTACCACCATTAGTACAGGAAAGGATCTTCTAATTATTAGATATGTTACAAACTAAGTGATAGTTTTTTAACTAAATCTCAACTATCATTTATTACCCCTTTCTTCTACTTTATCTTATATGCTCTGTTCACTTCCTTGTCTCTCAATTTCCACCTGATCAAGAGAAATCCAAGTTGGTCACACTCAAGCATATTTTGGCATTTCAGCCTGATATTTCAACCAAAGGATCAAAGCAACCATAAGGGGCAGTCCGACTTTAAAACTGTATGTCTGTCTTGGAGTATAAGATAGGCAGAGATAGCTTATGTTATGCTCTGACCAAGTTGATCTAGAGAAAAATTTCAATGCAGGCAGTAGATGGAGGCAAGAGAAAATAGGATGCAGAACAATGCCTCCTGGGGTGGCCACTTTGTGCTATTTAAAATGAGGTTCCACCTCAGACCTACTGAATCAGAATTTCCCCCCGGGGGCGGGTAGGGGCCTGCACATTGATACCATAGTAAGATTTCTAGGTCATTTGTAGGAACTCCTTAAATTGTGAAGGCCACAGGCATAGAGGAAGAATAATGGAAGGTGACTTACAGGAAATGGTTTATAGTTGTGGTCAATATTTGCCTAATTTTGAGGCTAGCCCATTAACTTCTGTTTCCACTCTAAGCTCATTCTATTTTTCTCTATACTTCCTTTCAATTCTGAATTTCTCCAATTCTAAGGTTTACCTCTGAACTTTGAGTCAGTGACAGAAGAAGGGATGCTGTGCTAAGCCGGGGAGCTTGGATACTCACTTTGAGGCCCATGAGGTAGTAGAGGACACTGATGACAGTCATGGGGAGGATGTAGAAGAGGAAAGAAGTGACCTGAATGATGAAATTGTAGATCCATATGGGTTTGATGACCGCACAGGTGGCAGATCCTGGGACCAAGGACCCATTGGGGAAGTAGTGGACCTTGATGCCGTGAATGCTGGTGTTGGGCAGAGAGAAGAGAACAGAGAAGCCCCAGACGACGCCAAGGATCCTGAGAGCCCGCCTCCGGGTGCTCTTCAGCTTGGCGCGGAATGGGTGGAGGATAGCCACGTAGCGCTCCACGCTGACCGTGGTGACACTGAGGATGGATGCAAAGCACACTGTCTCGAAGAGGGCCGTCTTGAAGTAGCAGCCCACGAGCCCAAATAGGAAGGGGTAGTTGCGCCACATCTCATAGACTTCCAGGGGCATCCCAAGGAGCAGGACCAAGAGGTCAGAGACAGCCAAGCTGAAGAGGTAGTAGTTGGTGGGTGTCTTCATAGTCTGGTGCCAAAGAATCACCAGGCACACCAGGAAATTGCCAATAACCCCCACCACAAAAATTAGTGCATACACTGCAGTCACTGGGAAGAAGAACTGGCTGCGGGGAGGCCCATAGAGGAAGGCCAGGTAGTCCTCGGTGCTGTTCATGTATTTCTCAGATGGATCTTCCAGTTCCTGCTGGTGGATCCAGGAATCATTCTTGTGTTTTTCCATCACTGACATTAAAATGCAAGACCTGAACCTCCTCTGATATGATCGTGTGTCCCAGGCTGAGCCAGAAAAGAAAGAGAAAGCAGGCAAGAAAGCACAGACTCAGGGGAAAGAGGGTAGGAGAGAGTGAGCAAGTACTCCAGCAAGCCTGGGCTGCTCAGATCGGATCCTTTTTTGAAGAGCTAGAGGCCCCGCCCCTCCACAGGCTGTGGGCCAATGAGTGCGTGTCAGACACTCGGCAGGAGGGCCTCTGGTTGGGAGAGCTGGCTTTGAAAGCCTGGGGCTGGAGAGGAGCGGGGAGACATTTCTCTGAATTGAAACAATCTGGGAAAGCAGCTCACATAAATGATGATACTCTAACTTAAATAAGCTGTGGGCACTTTGAGCGGTGCATTTTACAGAATTGTAGGAATCTGGGTGGAAATACACATTAAAGTTGCAGGGTCTTGGGTAGGAGGGTACAAATTTCCATTGATCCTTGTCGCCTGCGCAGCATGACAAAAATGAGAGATCAAGAGATTTTTCAAGTTATCTTGTTCCATTGGAAATGCAAGGGTCTCTGGGGAGAGCATGATCAATGTGCCTTTTTTGGTTTGATTGCATCCACAATAGAATCCAAAGCCTGAAAGAACACTTGCACATTATAAAGCCCTGCCTACTCTCTGTCACTTCAGTGTCTTTTGGCAGTGGCTTGCTGCACCAAAAGGCAGTGGAGGTTAGAATCAGGCATATCCCTAGAAATCCTGTAAGACATTGGGAATGTTACTCAAACTCTGCCAGCCTCATTTCCTTATCTGTGTATTGTAGATTCATTCACTGTTTTTTTCAACAAATACTTCTTGAGGATTCACCAGGTACCAGGCAATGTTTGAGGATTTGTAGAAACAGTGAAAAAGCAAGACAAAAATCTCTGTCACGTGGAGCTTTTCTTACCGTAGGGAATTCCAAAAATATACAAGCAAACTAGTAAATTAATGATTTCAGATAATTGTGTTGTGAGGCAAAAGGGTACAAGATGATACAAACATAAGGCTGGAGGTGTTCTTTTATCAGGGGTAGTCAGAGTAAACTTATCTTAGGAGATGTGATTCGGGCTGAGAGCTGAATAATGAAAAGTCAGTCATAAAAGAACTAAGGGAAGTGCATTCCCAGCAAAAGTAATAGCAAGTGCAAAAGTCCTGAGGCAGTCACATCTTGATATGTTTCAGAAACATCAAGAAGACAAATGTAGATGGGACTTAATGAGTAGACAGGAGAGTATGAGTGATTAGGTTGAAGTGGCTGATGGGGGCCAGATCATGTAATTTTTTTCTAGGATTTGATATAGAGTCTCAGATTCAGTCTACAGAGGGACTTCTTTGGAAAGTTGTGAGCAGAATTATGAAGGGTGAAGTTTTAACAGGATATAAGTACGAGGCTGGTGCAGTAGTCTAAGAAATAGCAATGGCTTAGATTATGGCTTGGATTATTATGATAGTAGATTTGAGAGATCTGAGTTCGGGAATATTTTTGCGAGGGATGATACCTTATATGGTTGTTGAGAAGATTAAATGAGAGTACTTATATTAAAGCATCTTATAGTTAAGAGATGCTTCCTAAATTTTAATTATTTTTCCCTTTTATTTGTTAAATTGAATGATAAAACTGAGACTAAAAAGGTCAAGTGATTTGTCCAAGAATAATATGTTGGTCAAGATGGGGCAGTTTATGCTGTTGAAATAAATGATATCTCAGGGGTTTAAAACAGTAAAGATTGATTTCTCACTCACACTACAAATTTATCATTGGCCAGCTGGAAGGTCTGTCCCACATTCTACTCACTTTAGGACCGAGACTGATGGAGTGGTCACTATCTGGGACTTTGCTAATCATTATGATAGAAAGTAAGCTCTGGAAGTTCTCAAGTAGGCGACCATAAATCCTAGCCCAGAAGTAAGTAATACATGTCACCTTTGTTCATAGCTCACAGCTCTTTGGCAGAGATAATCATGTGTATCCACTCAAACACAATAGGGGCAGGGAGTGCTCTCCTACCATGTGTACAGAAAACAGAGAATCAGGAAAATTTTCTGTACAGCCTTAACAATGACATAAATAGAAAGTTATGGCAGAGCCAAAATTGGAGCCCTCTCATTCATGATGTCCTTTTATTTTTTTAAAGATTTTATTTATTTATTCATAAGAGACAGAGAGAGATTCAGAGACAGAGACACAGGTAGAGGGAGAAGCAGGCTCCATGCAGGGAGCCTGATGTGGGACTCAATCCCTGGACTCCAGGATCACGCCCTGGGCCGAAGGCAGGCGCTAAACCTCTGAGCCACCCATCATGATGCACTTTGACATTGAAATTACTATTAACAAACTTTAATATTTATTTCTGATAAAGTGTAAGTATTGGAATGTAGTATCTCATTGAAATGCAGGGTCATTAAAATTATAAGGGTGGATAGTAGCAGATGTGACTGGAGGCTGGAAGATACATGTAGGACAACCAATTAAAGATTCAAAGGCATCTCTCTATTGTGACAGGGGAGGTTTAATAATATAGAACAGTGTCTAGTAAGTGATCCAGTAACAGGCTTGTTACTGTGCAGGGAGATGATGTAGAAGTGATAAAGACAAGTAATAAGTTAATAGGTTAAACATAGAAATGTATTTATTTTTATTGGGGTCAAAAAGACTTGTCAGATTTAAAAACTGGGAAATGTGGTTGGGAGTGTTCATGTGAGAAGGGCTTCTCAGGTTTTTATTTTTAAGATTGTATTTATTTGAGAGAGAGCTCGAGATAGCACAGAGGGTTTGAGGGGCAGAGGCAGAGGGAGAGGGAGAACAGATACCCCCTTGAGCCAGGATCCTGAGCAGGTCTTGATTGCAGGGCTCAATCATAGGGCTTGATTGCAGGATCCTGATATCATGACCTGAACTCAAGGCAAATGCTCAATGGACTGAGCCACCCAGGCACCCCAAGGACTTCTCAGTTTTAGTGCACTATCAGTACAGGAAAGCAAGTCAAAGTAGCTGCTAAGAAAGTATGTGCACATCTATGCCCCCTATTACCCAGATCTTCACTTTCTAGCTATGTGAAGATGGTGAGATTAATGAGGGGCTCAGTATCCTAAAGGCAACATTTGATGCAGGTTAGGAATGTTTTGCCTGAAGAAGACTCAGAAGAGTGAAGTGGGATATGAGGGCCACCTTCAAACACTTCACAATATGTTTGGATGACACCTAAGGAAACAGCAGAAGCTCATGTGCAGAAAACCCAAGGAAGCCACAGCAGGAGGTCAATTCCACTGGAATTTCCTAATAATCAAACAGAAAACCTCTTAGAATTGTTCACTTGAATGAAAATAAGCTTAAGTTTTTATCTACCAATTCCTGTCCCCCGTTGTTTGAGGGTTGCTCCTGGGGTCAGTAACTTCCCTATTATCTCTAGACTGTTCTTGCTCAGGAGTTGAACAACTTCCACATTGTCAGAGAATGTTACAGGATAGAAAAATAGATATGGAGCATGAACTTATGGTGCAACTCTATCAGCAGAGATAAGTCTGAGACTGCACAGGGCTACTCTCTGTAGCGGTGGCTTAAATCAGGTGGGCTAAGAGGATGTGATGTGAGGGTACCCATAGCATCTACTAAAATCTATAAAATAAAAAATATAATAGCTGATATTTGTTGAGCAATTATTCTTCCCAGGTGCTACTTTAAGCATCTTGCATGTATTAGTGTATGTAATCTTCACCATAATCCTGCGAGGTAGGTTTTTTTTTTTTTCCCATCCTTTCAAACAGGTGAGGAAACAAAGCCCAGTGGTATGCATTTTGGCAGATTTATAAAAGATAAAGAAGAAGAGATCCTTAGGCTAATTTTCACAGACACCTCTCTGGATTCACAAATTCCCAGAAAGTCAGTGAGGATTTCTGTGGCAGGAGATGTTATATATCTAGGAAGAAAATCGTGGTGGCTGTTGATTTCTTTCAAAGCTCTTTGACGGAAATAAAATCAGTTTCCACTTCAGTGTCAATGATTTATGTTGACTGGAAACAGAGAATAACTAAGAGTGCTTAAACCACCAACAGACGGAGACTTTAGTAATTACATCTTTATGAAAGTAGATACTTGAGTAGCATCCAGAATAGACATTTTTTTCTGCATATCAGAATGCGACTCAGTGAAAGTCAGCACCTGACAGATGATATGGCATGTTTTCAAAGGAAATAAAAGTCCCCATTGGCTAAAAGTCCTGCCCCAATAAGGTTTAAAATTTTACTCCTCTCTGAGGGCAAAATATCATCATCATCATTCATTATCATCATCATTAGCAGTGGCAGCAGTGCCAACTTCCATAATCTAGTGTTAACTGTGTGCCAGGAGCTGTGTAAGTGCTTGTGGGTTTGTATACTTGTTTCCATATATGGAGGGTGAGAAGAGACTGAATAATGAGGCAGATCACTCCAGATTGTTAGGTGGAACGTATGTATAAAGCTTGTTGTGCATGGCCATAAGACAAGTAGATTTCTGCACCTGCCTGTATGAATCTTAAAAGTTGATAAAGAGGTCTTTACTGGGTTCAGTCACATATACCATCTAGATGGTCTCAGCACTGCCTTATTCTCTCAGTTCTGTGTTTTTGGAACAGCTTCCAGTGTGGAGATGGTAGGAAGAACATATATTATAAGGACAGGAGGGTGGTAAGGAGCCTCCAATTGTCTGAGTCCAGTTCATGGGTCAGCTGGTGGTCATATCCTCTTTATGACCTCCTTCAACAGCATTTTATTTGAATTCTTTAATACAATCCTTGAAAAAACCCACTGAGGAGGCATTTTTATTTCCTCTTTTACAGATGAGAAAATCCAGGATTTAGAAAGGTTAGATGCCTCACAAACGTACATATTTAATTATTATTGGTTCCAGGATCCAAACAGAATCTGGGTCCTAGCAGACTTGACTCTTTGCTATCCAAATATAAAGCCTTTTCCCTGAATCATGACTCAGAAGTACCATATAACAAATTCTATTTTATTCTCACATGAATTACTGAGCCTTGCATTTCAGGGATATCTACCTTTAAACAGAGTGTTCCTGTGGACGCAATATATTGACCTAAAGGTCAGTTCATAGCTGA